TTAAAACTGCTCTCCAAATACAGAGTTAATCTTAACTTTAAAACCTTTTAGACCATGTAAATAAAGGAACTATACACCCCCAAACGAACATGGACAATGCTTTTCACAGATCAGACAGGCAATAATAAGAAATAGGAACTGCTAGTTTTTACAGGAGATGCCGCCAAAAGCTTACCTGGTGTAGGGAGCTAAGGGAAAACACCTGCATAACCCATGATTGGTGTTCATTACTATTTGGAAACACTACTGTATATTTCAGGAAGTTCTGGACTGCCTCTTGTATAGCAGTCTCCCAAGAGAGGAAACCCCCAGATCATCTATCTATTCAGTTTCATTTTTAATTTATTGATTGAAAAGATTTAGCTGTATGTTCATCATAGTAGTATTTCATCCACTATGCAACTTGCTGAGAATAGTTGTGATACGGGAAGCATGTCAATAAAATCAGTGGTGGGTTCCTCCCGGTTCGGTCCGGTTCAGCCAAGCTGGTAGCGGTGACAATATGACGTCACCGAACCGGTTCTCTCCCCCCGCCCACCCACCCACGTTATTCTTACCTTTTATTTGGTCCCACCCCCAATCTATTGCTGCCTCCTGAGTCCCAGCTGATGACTAGAGGGAAAAAAACTGTTTAAACTCTTGCTACGGGGTTTTAAAAGGCCATCCTACAGCTGATCAGTGTTAAAAGCAAAGAAATGAGTTGGGTCGTAAGTGTGAGGACTGGTCGTAAGTGCGAGGACCTTCCAGAAATGACTCTGACCAGCTAGCCACACCCACCTAGTCACATGACCTCCAATCCACACCCACAAAATAAGCCACGCCCACAGAACGGTAGTAAAAAAAATTAGAACCCACCGCTGAATAAAATATAATGCTTCCATGAATTGAAGTATTTATTAAGAACATTCTCCCCAGCTTATGTGCAGCTGAGCATTTGAAAAGATAATGTATCTGAAAAATATTTTTGTGTCTTCTATAAAATGAATATAAAGGGAGACGCTTAAATATAAAACATTAACATTTACAAATTGTTTTCTCTCACTTGGTGGTGGTGCTTATAATGCCATGAAGACCTGTTACTTTTTTTAGCCCTCACCATTTTCCAGCTGGACACATCACAAAACTCTTGCTCAAATTGACCAAAGTTTATTTTTATTTTTCAAACATGCTCTTTATTTAGCTTACATGCACCTGACTTCAAGGTCTTTCAAATGTTTGACATCTTTTTTTAAAATACAAAAGTAGGCCAGATTATGTAAATAACATGTATAAACAAGAGGAATTGATCTACTGCTGAGCAAAAGATAACAGTGGAAGCATAATTGAGCGGAGTACAAAACCTTTTTTAAAGAGAATCTCATAAAGATGCAAACTTTGGAATAAATATTCCTTTTTTATTGCAATGTGATTTAAACTGACTTCTATTTATTTATTTGGTGCCTCTAAGTCATTGTTGGATCCTGTCAATTGACTAGGCCCTGCAGTTTTCTTGGCAAAGAAGTCCAGAAATGGCTTCTAGGACGGAGAGAAAATGACTGACCAAGGTGACCCAACTGGCTTTGAGCCTAAAGCAGGATTAGAATTTACCATCTCCCAGTTTCTAGCCTTCTATACTGCCCATCTCACTTTGGGCGGCTTACAACATCACAAGAACTTTAAAATATGCAAACATTAAGAATTAACAAAAATTAGGTAAATTAAGAACCAATATACAAACCAGCTGGATGTAGGGTCGTCTTCTTAATCTGCTAACCAACTCCAGCGTTAAAGCTCCCATTGGGGGCCCAGGCCAATTGGCCTAGCCAGGTTTTGAGGGCTTTTCAGAAGGCCAAGAAGGTTAGGACAGAGCCCCACCTCAAGGGAACATTATTTCAGAGGGCAGAAGCCATGGTAAAAGTAAAATCAGCAAACAGTAAAAGTAGTCTTGCATCTGTAGAATTCAAGGGATTACAGTAGAAATCCCCTCCCTGAGATTTTAAAATAATTAGTGTCCCATCTACCGTCTTTTCTAAATATTGGGGATCTTGTGAAGGAAACCAAGTTGCAATGGCATATGCTTACTGTACTAACCTCCCATAGAATTAGGAGGGAACATATGTTGAACATGCACGTAATTAGGCAGAGTCTAAATGTTTTAGACTAAAATGTATGAAGAGAGAAAATAGGCACCCTTCCCATCACAGTAAGCAGTCTGTAAGCATAATGGTCCACATCACCATGTCTAAGGTCAGTCTTTGTATATTTAACAGAACATTGTTTCATTGTGGGGCGGTGAGCCATTTCTGGTGACTCATGTCACAGTAATGCGACCTGTGTGCTTTGTGTTTGTGTTTATATAGTTCCACAGGTGGGACAAGAAGGTGAAGGTTCACAGACAGATAATGTGAAAAGAAGTAATATATTCATGGGATAGTGAACTGGGGAAGTATGGAAATTATATCTATATCTATAAAATATAAAATATTGCACAAGGCCATCTATCCCAAAGATGCTTTTTCAAGAAGCAACTGGACTTTCTGGTTTTTCTTTGAATAGATTTCGTTTCTCATCCAAGAAGATTTTCAGCTCTGACAGGAAGGATTTATATATTTACTCCTTGCAGACAGCTGAAAGTGTGCAAATGACCAGCTGTCCACAAGGAGTATAAATCCTTCCATTCCCCACCATCCGGTCAGAGCTGAAGAAGCTTCTTAGATGAGAAGCGAAACGTCTTCAAAGAAAAACCAGAAAGTCCAGTTGCCTTTTGAAAAAGCACCTTTGGGACAACCATGATCTGGATAACTGAGAATCTCCATAGACAAGCCAGTTTGACATTCATTCATTCACTTCTTCACAAACAAGAACAGTAATATACTAATATAATTAATATACTTGTTTGCCCATGATACGTATGTGTGTGTGTGGGGGGGTGTATTCTTGTTTGTGGAAAAGTGAGTTAATGAATGCCAAACTACATGGCCTTGTGCAATATTTATCACCAGGCAGTGAGTTGTGAGAGTTGCTTATATCCCAGTTTTCATGGCTGTGTAAGGGGCAGACTTGTGTCCAAGCTATCAAAATCTATTCTCATATATCAAAGGAGTTTTCTCTTGGGAAGTCTGAATTAGAGAAGGCATGTGTGAGCCATACCTGAATATAGTCTTTCTGTCATTGTGAAACTTAAAACACATGGTGCCATCTACTGGCCATATCAATATAGACAACATGTATCTATGATATACTGAGATTTTGAAAATTAATTGGTTCTTTGTGATAGGAATTAAAGGCAAGAATAACAGCCCCAGAGGTTGAAACTGAAGTCATACCAATTAAATGTCCATTTTACAACATTTGCAAAGTAAATTTCTCTGTAAATCTCAAAATAAAGCTTTAAGTTAACTTTCTACTGTTAGGTATTCATAACTTTCTACTGTTAGGTATTCAAAAGCAATGGTTATGATTGATAGCCATTAAAAATACCTATCTTCCATGAATTTGTGCAGTTGTATTTTGTTTAAAAATATCTAAGTATATAAACTAGAACCCATCACTTGTATATTTATTAACATCACATGGTAATAAAACTTAATTATACCCTCAGCTATCGGTCAGTTCACATATTGTTCAGACATTGTAGGGTGATTTATCTCTTTATTTTAAGATCTTTGCATGTCTCAGGTTGGTATATAAGCTAGCACAACGAGTGTAGTCTTCTGTTGATCATACTAGTTGGACTTTTCTACATTTTTCTCCCTCCCTGCGCATATTTTTGTGATATGGAGCAACCCAATGCATAAACAATATTCCAAATATATATTGCCATAAAGCCACCTACATATTCATTTTCAGAATTTTCTATTATTTCATTTACTTGTTCATCAATACTGCAGATTCAGTTGACATTTTTAATGAACTATCTGTCTATATTCCCAACATTTTTTTTCCAGAGTAGTCTCTAAGAGGATGTAAAATATCCATTGTGTTATTCTGCCATCTTCTGAATGTCCTTCTTGCATTTAGATTCTTGCTTCTGAATGCTTTCAATTTTCCTCTAAATCAGACCTTTTAAAGCATCAGTGTACCCAGCTTCAATAAGGCTATTTCAGAATAATAGCAGCATAATCCCATTATGAAAACATGCATTACTAACTACAGAAAGTGTTTTCTTCTTTATGAAAAGCAATGATAGCAATAAAATAATATTTTAATATTTTATTAGACTTGGTTTTTAATTTTTTATGAATCATTCTTTTATTAGTGAAACTGCCTTGACTTTCCTTACCACCCAGGGTCATCTGATTATAGTGGTAGAAAAAATATTGTTAATAATGGGATAAATACATTTTATCACAACATAAAAGAGCATGAATACTTAAACAAAAATAAATCTTGAGGATTTGTATCAGCATCTGAATCTGCCATGGAACCTTTTACATCTTATTCTGATGATTTATTTACTGGCTGTCAAATTGGATGATGTATGGTTTCATTGATGTAGAAAGAAGTACAACTAAATTCAACAATTAGCATAACAGATATATAACCTCAGTTAAGAAAAAAAAGTACTGTAGTTTTTATTTTAGGATTATTCTTTTATTCTTTATACTTTTATTTATTTATTTATTTTTCAGATTTCTATACCGCCCTTCCCCTTTCGGACTCAGGGCGGTGAACAGCCAAAATAAAACATTTGTACACAAAAGTTAAAATAAATTTAAAATAATTAAATAAACTTTTAATTATCATCCGTTCTTTGAATTGGAACCTGTACTTTGAGGAGAACATGAAAAATCTCATTTATCTGCACCAAGCTGTTTGTATTTGATAGTATTGCTGATTTTATTGTATACTAGTCATTTACTCTGTTAGGATAGCTATTTTTTAAAGTCGCCTACAATGCAGGAGTTAATATTTGAACTATATTCAACTATGTTATTTGAATAAAAGAATTATTCCAAGGAACCTGCTAAATTCTTTGTTAAATAAATAAACAGTCTGCCTTTTCCTTTGTTTTACCCCAGGTGAAACTTCCATTTCCTGTAGATCAAATCACAGATCTTCCAAGGAATGATTTCCAGATGATGATAAAGATGCACAAATTAACCTCAGAGCAATTGGAATTTATCCATGATGTTCGGCGGCGCAGTAAAAACCGAATTGCTGCCCAGCGCTGTCGCAAGAGAAAACTGGACTGTATTCAGAATTTAGAATGTGAAATCCGCAAATTGGTAAGCCTAAAGAAATATTAAATATCATTATTTATTAAATATCTCACCTTATACTGATCATTAACCAAATTTAATAAAATCCATTTAATCTATTTTGCCTTTTCTTTATAATTCGTACTAAATACTAAGACTTTTTAAACATGTTCCGTCTTCTATTTAATACACTCCAGATTTGCTTAAATTTGAACAAAATGCATCAAGTAACTTCTGATCATATTTAGGGGTGATTGAATCCAGTACAACTCCTTAAAATTGTATGGATAGAATGTTCCCATCTCAGCCTTTCTCCCCTAATAATTCATAGCTTTTCTAAAGACAATTCTGTCATCTCTGTGATCACAAACATATATCTTATCTGTTGACTTGGCTGCTTCTCTTCCCCTGATCCTAGCCCTTTTTTCTAGTCCATCATCTGTTCATATTATATGTGTGTTTCTGATTGCTGAATGTTGCCTCAAGAGAAATATGGCTCTTTATTTTGTTCGGGATTAGTTCTTCCAATCCACGGTTCTCCTATTAATTTGAAGATCTATTATCTATTTTCTGCCTTTTTCTTTTCCACTGTCTAGTGATACACTTCAGACTTCTAGCATCTCATTCTGGATAATGTGCCAATCAATTAAGACCTGATTTTGAAATTCTGAAGCCTGATGTGCCAAACCTCTCTTTAAAAATGAACACTGTTCTGTATTTGACAGGTTTGTGAGAAAGAGAAACTTCTGTCAGAAAGGAACCAGCTGAAAGCATGCATGGGAGAGTTATTAGATAATTTCTCCTGCCTTTCTCAAGAAGTATGCCGAGATATGCAGAGCTCAGAACAGATCCAAGACCTTCACCGATATTGCCCTGTGCTCAGGCCTATGGATCTTCCAACAGCAGCTAGTATCAACCCTTCATCAGGTGGAGTGGAGCAAAATGTAGTGACATCCCAGTGCATTGGAGAAAGCTTGCAGTGCTGTTCAGAACAAAGCCCAGTGCAGCAGCTGGGAGCCCACTGGCTACCCAACAACATTTCTGACAAATGTGCTACAAGAGGACTGGATGGAGCTGACCAAGTTACTTATTCTGAGCAGGAGCTCCCTCCAGAGCAGAACAACCAAGCGGTGACCATGGATTTCTGTCAGGAAATGACTGATAAGTGTACAACAGATGAGCAGCCTAGGAAGGAGTACACCTAGTGTTCGGTATACCTTTTACATCACACTTAGCAAGGTCTCTTCAGTCAGTCAGTGGCCACGATCATTTGTTGTCTATATTGAAGAACATACTTGGTGCACACTACAGTGGTCTTAGCAGCAATACTGTTTTTAAGTATTCCATCCTCTCTACAAAGCAGGAGTTTAACTTCTTCACTATGGTGCTATCCCATGCTCAGGCAGGGGAACAAAGCAGTGGCAACACTGTCTGATTCTTTTTTTATTGTTGTTGTTATTGTTACTGTATTTTAATTTCAATATTCAACAGGGATGGACATAACACCTCTGAGGACCCAAATGCAGCTTTTTCTCAGTGGCCCATGTCACAAAACCCTAACTCAGGAATTTCCTCTGAATGTTCAATTTTTCATTGAAGACAGCTTCTTTACACATCAAAGTTTTATAGCTAAACTGTACATATATACATATATATATATATAGTATATATAAAAATATATATCCATATGCAAAAAACAAAACAAAACCCTGCATGGCTCAGAATTTCCTCATGAAAACAACTGGAATTTTAAATTTCTATTGTATAAAAAATTCCAACATTCCTTTCTTGGTCTATGCTAGAAGTAACTTGTATATGTTTTAATATTTCCCCCTGCCACTCAGTTCACTGTTCAGCAATATCATCTAGTTTGTACTTTATTTATAAAGTTTCAATGTTGGAAACTTCTTTGAATTTTTAATCTGGGACAGTGTTTGTGGCACCCCTAACTTTTTGTGCCCGTTTGAGCAAAGTGGGTTTTATTCTTATCTTTCTCACAGATACTGTATAGCAATGGTCAATTTTGCCACTTGCACTGAGTTTTGGATCAAACCTCATTTCATAAATGAAGTTGGGACTTTGGTATATTTCACATATTTTATTCATTGCTTCTTCTTTTTTCTTTTTTTTTTAATTCAGCAAACTAGGAAAAACAAACCTCAGGAGTTGATTATGTAATGAATTATTAGTCTTGCCAAATATGGAATTCCTCTTAATAGTGTGAATTGGGCATTTTTTGTATTTATCTTTGTTTATCCTTTTTTTTTTTTTTTTCCAAATTAAGCTAAATGGTATAGTGCAGTGATTCTCAACATGTGGTCTGCGGACTGCTGGGGACCCGCTAGGTCATCACAGGGAGTCACAAATGCTTGAAGAATGAGTTAAATCTTATGATTTAAATCACGAGTTAAGTCTTGGTGGTCTGTGGTCATAGTCTGAGGCCACAAAAGGTATTTAAAAGGGGTGTGTGGTAAAGAAAAGGTTGAGTGTATATTACCGATGCTGAGAACTAAGGCAGATTTCTCCAAGTTTGATATGGTGACTGGAAATAGTGAAAGTTGTGCAGTGCATCCGAAGGATACCAGGCTGAGGAAAGATGGTGTAAGGCAAAATTGCTTAGATTTAGTGGCTTCATGTCAATCAGCAAAGCTTAAATCAAGGCCTTCACTCCAGATCTTAATTTGTGTTACTAGTGTTTATTTTTTCTCCAATGGTTCTACTGGCTTCGCTGTATAATCCCCCCTTAATGCTGCCTTAACACAGTGATATATTAGGATTTACTATTCTGGCCTATACTGGCATCAGCTCAAAACTGCTGATTCAGTTGCTCTGAGAAATGAAAAAGAGTGTCCCTTCACAGAATGGCAGAGGACAGAGAACCATATTTAGAGCAATCATGAATCTTAAAAGGTTGAAAAATATCATCCCTTGTCAACAATAGAATACTGACCAACCTAGAAAACATGAAACGTGAGTGAAGGAATAGTTGCAAAAATATTGAAACCTCAGGTAATCCTTGACTTACAACTGGTCCTCACATGACCATGGCAACATAACCAGCATGTATTAACAGCGGCTGTAGTGACTTGAGGTCACATGCTTGCCATTTCCAATCTTCCCAGGGCACCTCTGACAAGCAAAGTTAATTGGAGAAGCCAAATTTGCTTTAACGATCATATAATGCACTTAATATCTGAGGTGATTCACTTAACCATGCTAAAAAGTCGTAAAATCAGGCACAACTCGCTTCATAGCTGTCTTGCTTAGCAATGGAAATTCTGGCCACAGTTGTGGTTATAAATTGAGGACTACCTGTATAAAAAAATTCACTCAACTCTAGCTGATTTGCATCGAACAATGATTATGCAAAATTACTTCCAAACATAACTACACCCGCTCATGAAAACATTTTTCCTATTGAAGTATTGAAATACAGGTAATCCTCAATTTACAACGATTCGTTCAGCAAACCAGGTCCTCCTCCCACCCTCTGAGACATCCCATGCTCTGCCTAATGCCTGCAGTGAGAAGAGGCGGGAGAAGAGTGAATGCCTTGCTTAATGATGGCAACAACTTAATTCTGGGCTCCATTGTCATAAGTCGAGGAGTACCTGTAAATGGAAATGATCTGATTTCCATCTGTAATTTCAATGCATGCCAACAAGATTTATGCCGGATATTTCTTTCTGATGGATTCCGTCCTTCTGTTTTTAAAGATTAGTTTTTATTTCACAATAACCTTCTCTGGGCTGTATTCTAAGGTGGCATTTATCATTTACAGATTAGTCCTGTTTATTGTGTATTAGACCTTAATGAATCACCAGGGACTGTGTCGATGCAGACAGCTTTTCTGTATACCACGGAGAACACATTCCTCAAAGATACTGTTTACATTGAGCAACAGTCCCTCACTCAGCAAAGCAGCATTTTTTTTCCAGCAGAGGAATCAGTATCTTTTTCAAATGAGAGATATGCAGACAAATAGCCGGTCCTGTTTTTGCAGTAGACTCCACATTCATTGTACTCTTCTTGCCAACTAGGAAATAGATACACTGCATATTCCACATTTATTGACTGAAAAGGGTGGGGGCATCCCTATGTAGGATGGAGATACTATATGTTTAGCATATATTCTTTAAATATTAAGCATTTGTGTAAAACGAATAAACTTATTACTAACTCTCCATATATTTATCTATGGCATATGGATGCTAGTTCAAACTGTTGAGTAATGTTTTAGATGGGGACTTCCTTTGAAAATATAACTTTATACTAGAAGTTTTCAAATAAAATATTTGGGGTGAGGAATTATGTAGATATGAAGGGTAGGCCTTGTAATTCAGTTGACGTTGCAGAACTCTTGGCTGCTTCTCAGAGAACTTAACTTCAGTGATGGAAGCTAAGATTTCAAGCAACATGTGAATTTCATTATATTTTTCACAGCCATTGAGAATGCTTCGTTTTTTATCCTGTTGGCAGTATTGCTCAATACTTTTTTGTTTTAATATCTGTAAGTGACCTCTAAGTTGTATTTCTTGTGGGTATACAATTCAGGATGTTCCAGATTTTACTACCCATTGTTATTTGGCTATTTTTTACCTTTTTCTTCCGAACAATGAAAGAAATGGTAGGAAGGGAAAATAAAGAAGAAATAGAAAGCATGATTGTACATAGAGATTCCTTCCCTTCAAATAAAATTTCATAAGCAGGGCTAAGCAGTTGCAAAATAAAAGCCTTATCTGGCAGCATCTCACACTAGATTCTAACCACTTGATATAGAGATTTACTATTAATACCAACTCATGTGCAAATGGTACTTTTGACCTCATTTTATTGGTTTACATGTAATGGACAAAACATGTTCTACAGTTATTGTATTGACCTGGCTCTCTCACTGATTCAGAGCCTTTTTCTCCTACTACTCCTTCTCTACCTCTGCCTCCCCTTCTGGTTTGTTTGTTTTTTAAATCCACTGCTCTGTTGTTTCAACCTTTTTGCTTTCTTTATGTTTGCCTTTTCATTTAGAAGTGACTAATGTGTATATTAGCTTCTTCGGACACACTATTGTATATGGTTTTTCAGAACCACATATAATTATTGGGTTAACTTCTTAGGAGAATTACTTTCAGAACTGGACCCAAATTGAGACATTTGAACTGCATTAGGCTAAAGGAAAATTAGGGGATGAGGGGGCCAGAACTGACCAAAATTTTTATTTTTAGATAAAAGTAAGCATGCATTGTGGAACGGCAAAGAACAGTACTGGCTGTTAAGTGATGAAGGAATGGATGTGAGGTCTTGTTTTTACGTTCCCATGCTAGTCAGCAGCTGCTTTTGCATTGAGTAAGGAATGTACAAAGAATATATATTTGGCCCTGTCCAGTCTGCATATTCTCCTTTTAATTTGCCTTTGCTGTGCTTTCTCTTGCCAGAAAACCTCATTTCATTTAGGCATCTTCTACTTTTTGTCAGGTAAATATTACACTTACATAAATATTTACGTTTGCTAGGGGGTGCCTTGAATAAAGTTGAAGTTCATTGAAACCTGATTCTGGAACAAAAAGGCTAGTTTTTTTGGTTGTTTTTTAAATTCAGTCAGATTCCCAAAATATTCTGATATTTATGGCCAAGGCCTAATATACGCTGACTCAAGCATCAGAGTTTGATGCTGTAGTATAAAACTATTATATATTACACAGTTAAATTATTTGAAGTCTTTCTAAGAAATATATGCTGCTTTTTTAAAGATGCACTTTTTTGGATCTAATCCATCTATTTTTATTCCCAAGGAAGTAAAAATTGAAAAAAAAATAATGGAATACAGAAGCCACTGTGATCAGTATTCCAATTTTTGTCTCTTGAAAAAAGACGGTAAGAGCGATCTAAACTTAATAAAGTCAATTCAGCTACTGACAGTGTAGCAGCTGAATATTACATTCAGCTTACTGCAATATCACCAAATTTAAAAGAATATGATAGGGAGTTTTAAAGAAAAGTGTTTTTGAATGCTCAAAAATACTGCATTCAGTCATTGTAGTTATTCCCATCACTGTGATGTGAAAAGCTGCATGGATGGAAGTTCAGGTGATTTTTTTTTTAAGCTCTTTTTTTTCTTCCCTAAATAAAGTATGATAACTAACCTCACAGCAACTAGTTAAATTTATTTTTTATCTTTGGTGTGCCAGTCAATCTTTATGGCCTTTAGTATAGGTTAAACTAATCCTGAAGCCTGTTGGTCTTTTTCTTTTATTGGTGACCTGTAAATCTTGTATTTCAAAACAAACCAACAGACAGGTTTAGCCTCTCCCCGAGCTATGGATATTCTCTATAATTTCTAACAGGTTTAACCTACACAGCTACAGTATCCTTTGAGCAGCAGGCTAGTAAGTAGTTTTGTGAAGCCTATGCAAGCATCAAATTCTCAACAATCTAGCTCAGACCAATGACTCCAAGAGGCAGTTTTCACACGCACACAAAAGATCAGGATTTGTGTTTGTTTGATCACTTATTTCACTGCCATCTCTTTAAATGTGTACATTTAAAAAGTTTGAGTTAGTGAAGACAGATAAGAAAGGATGTTACTTGATGTAGCCTTAGGAAAGCTCTGCTAAAAATGTGGTAGCTAATTTCTATCTACAATATAAAATCAGTATGTGTAATTTTGCTTGTTTATATTATGTATATTTATAATTGAATTATTTTGTGACACAGGCATCAAATAATGCTGCAGAATACAGTTGTACATATGTTAAATCCATTCAAACAATTTTTATGTATATTAAAAATCTATAGTTTGGTGGATTGTAGACTACTAATAAATTATTATAACTTTCTCTGGAAGTTAGAATGTCATTGCTTGCCGTGTAAAAGAATTACAGTATTTTCCTACACTCCACCAATATTATATATAGATAGATAGATAGAGAAATATCAGAATAAAACTAGTGATATGTATTTGTTTTTAAATTATAATGCTCATGTGGTTCTACCATTGTGATGAAAGCCACTTTTTCTAGTGGGGAGTAATTATTCAAATTTCTTCAAACTGAAAAAAATAGATAACTTTTTATTATCAATGCCTCACTAATATCAGCTCTTTTATATATAGGTCCAGTTTACATAATGTTTAAACACCTATGCAGTGTAATAAAATAAATTATATGAAAGTTTGTTCAGCTTGACCCTATGCATGTTTACTCGAAAGTAAGTTTCACTGAGTTCAATGGCGCTTCTACCTGGATAAGTGTGCATAGGATTGCAGCCTTATAAATAAATACAAAAAAAACAAAAACTTTTAAGAATCCAGAAATCCATTTCTGTCATCGCTCAAAACTTGAAATGGTTCAAATGATTTTGAAGCCAATGACCCATTTAATTTTGAAGGCAGTCAGGATTAGAAACTTAGCCTAGAAGTTCCCTGTTTTCTGTTTTAACAGGTGAATTCAAATTTGAGGAGCCAGACTGAATTTCTGGGTTATTCCACACATTTAGAGTTCAGTGCTTTGTTGGTAATGAGTATGAGTTCTTGTGCATTTACAGTTATGAAAAAGATAAGGCGTTCTTTGAAAAATGATATTTAATACTTGTGTTATGAATAATAAAAAAAAATATCTGGACTCCTCCAATCAGCAGAAATTCTACTCAGTACTTTGGAGATCTCTGGATGTGCTGATTTTTGTCATTCAGTTCAAGGCTCATCTTTGATTACAAGGGTGAAGAGACCCCCAAGAGTTTGTTCCAGAACCAGTGGGCTACAAGTGCACCTCTACTATCTATGCCTTACAAACTTCAGAGGCCATATTCAAAACAGGGTTTTATCAGTGTATGCAAGGGGATGCAACCCCTCTCCTCTTCCTCCCCAGATCAGACAGTATGGACAGTTCTCACACATATCTACCTGTATAATCTTCTGTACCTCTCATAACTGGTCAATGACTGTAACAAGTTGCATCAGGTGTTTTTCTATATACTTTTTACACAGATTCTATGTGATTAATGGAACTTAATTCAATGCATCATTTTATTGTACTAGTTCTTAAGCTTGTCTATTATTATTTTTTTCTAGGTGACTGTGGTTTCTTGTGATTTTTATTGTATAAATGAAATGGCTGTTGATGCTTATTCCTTGTTACTAAGAATTTTTACCTTTTTGGAAAAAAAAACAGCATTGCTATCTATGAACTAATAAATTTAAAGACTTCAGTTACTCATTGTAAATACAGTATCGTGCAAAAAGATTTTTTCCATTCATTTGAATTGATAGTGTTAACTGAATTTTGTCTAGACACCATTTCTGTTGATGAAATAAAGACATACCAATATGTATTGTAGCATTGTCTCTGGCGTCTGAATTTAATGTTGAGGGGGGGGAGGGATTAAAAACAGCCTCAAGTCTAGGTCATCTCCTGACAGTTATATAGACAAAACTATGTAGTCATAGTTGGCAGTAATGTGGCTTGCTATTACTGTACTTTTTTCTGCAATATCTCTGATTTTTCTAGAGTACTATATGTGTTTTATTCATTGAGGTTTCTCATTCCAGTACTTGACAGTCAAAACATCCTTAGCCTATTCAAGGTACTGACATCTGCTGAGACTTAATAGTATTAAATTGGCTTGAAGGACTACCTGAAACAGACAATGTTTTTCCTTGTCTGACATTCTTAAGATAGAGTTCAGATATTCTCCAGTTAGTTACTTGTGTAAGTGCCCACGTGACTAGATTTTCATGTTAAGCCAGAAACTATGGTGTGATGAGCAAGTAAAGTAGTCTTTAAAAAAAACCACACCATTTCTGATGTAGCATAATATGAAAACATTGCCTATCATCTGTGATAACTGTTCTGACACATAGGAGCATCTGCAGGGGGGAAATTGGTTAAAAAAACATCAATCATAGTTGCCATTTTGTTTTATTTATAACTCACACACCAGGGATGAAATCTAAAATTTGTTACTACCGGTTCTGTGGGCGTGGTTTGGTGGTGGTGGTGGGGTAATATGACTGTGGGCGTGGCCAACTTTTTTTTTTCTTTTAAAAGCATTTTTTCGGCCGAAGAGGTTGTAGAAAAAATGCTTTTAAAAGTTAAAAAAAAAACAGCCTCTGATGATCACATGGCTCAGCTGGACACGGGGAGGGGGGTGCAGGGATTTTTGCTACTGAACCACCCACTGCTATCGCTACCGGATCGGGCAATCCAGTCTGAACCGGGAGCATTTCACCCCTGTCACACACCCTAGTATAGAACCTACAGGCAAATATAGAATCCAAGTAACATTTTTTTCTCCCAGTGATATTCCCATTTATTCTTTTAAACATTTTCTGATATCACAAGAGATTGCAGGTAAAACTACAAAATAAATGAATTATTTTTCATCCTAATGTAATACCACAAACCTAGTATCTAGTGAGAGATATGCAAAAAAACAAATCCAAGTTCAAATGGACGCTGAATCAGTATATTAACAACTTCCAACTGCACAGTCTGGCTTTAAGAAGTACAGTTACGTATCATCAGCAGACTGATTCTGAATTGACCAATGACCTCACTGAGTGATTTCCTGTACCCCCAGGTATTGATGGCAATTGGGACTTTGAATTTCTATCACTAGGCAAAGTGGTCATAAAACACAATGTCATATGATGACAGCATCACTTAGCTAAAGCAATCCCGCAATCCTGGTTGCCGTCATAACCATAGGACCATGTGGGTCATTAAGCGGGAAAGGGCAGATGTCCTGGGCAAATAGACTGATGTGGGTGGGTCAGTGCTGTAAATGAGGACTACAGGGGGGAGGTGAGAGTGCCACAGACAGGTGCTCCAAAGTGAAGGTGGGTACATGAGTGACTTGGGAAGGGGTGCCATAGGCCAGCATTACAGAGCATTACAGATGGCATAGGGGTTGGGGGTGCCATGGACAGTTGGTATGGGGCATGGGTTAGTAAAAAAGGAGTGGGAATGACTTCTGACTTCTTGCTAGCTTTCCTATTCTCTCGTGGTAGGGAAGAGAATGTCAAAAATCACAATTACATGTCCGTGGTTTGCTGCAATGCTGTAATCATGACCCAGGCACCATGTGATTGGATTGCAATCATGTGACCACTAGGATGCTGCGGTGGCTGGAAATCAAAGGAACCAAGATAGGTGCCCCTCAATCAGCATCATCATAACTCTGAATAGTCACTGAATAACTGAGGACTACCTGTAGAAGGTAAGCAGGAGGAGCCAAATAGGGACTCCGAGGCACTCCACAGGCGAGGGACCATAAGCACAACTTCAGGTCTAAAGCACCCCAGGAGGTGCCAGTAATATCTGTCTTCACCAAAGGTCCTCTGCTGAGTCCTTATCTATTCTGGACCCAGCAAATTACCTCATTGGTAGGGCAGATAGCCCCAAATATAGCTTTCTCCCTTCACACTTTGCTGCTGTTTCCCCAAAGATGCTGCTTGTAGTAGTTATCTATCAAAAATAGGCTAGCCTTACTCATTTTGAACAGGATCTGTGCAGAGGTGGGTTTCAGCAGGTTCTGACCAGTTCTGGAGAACCGGCAATGAAAATTTTGAGTAGTTCGGAGAACCAGTAGTAAAAATTCTGACTGGTCACACCGCCATCTATTCTCTGCCTCCCAAGTCCCAGCTGATTGGGAGGAAATGGGGATTTTGCAGTAACCTTTCCCTGGATTGGGGAGGGAATTGAGATTTTACAGTATCCTTCCTCTGCCACACCAACCAGCCACACCACGCCCACCAAGCCACGCCCACAGAACCGTTAGTAAAAAAAATTGAAACTGGCTCTGTGCCACAGATGATAGCTGTACTTAGTCAATCAGAGAAGTTAATTGGGTTTGGCCCTGATTAGGGGCTTGGATGAGAGAACTCTTGGGAAAATAAGAATTGAATAACTAGATTGAGAAGTCAGAAAGAAGGCAGTGGCAAAAGACTTCAATTAATGCCAAGAAAATTCCATGCTCAGGAGTTGAGTTCGTTTCCAAGAAAACTTTATTTTTTAAGATGTTACAGAATTGTATTATTTTCTAATATTAATTTAGCAAACAGAACAAAGACTCTGTGATTCTATGCGCACTTCATTTGGAAGTTAATTCCCACTGACCTATTTTCAAGCAAATATTGATAGGACCAAAGCTGCATATTGATTTCTAAATTGTTTGAACAAAATGGACTTCTGGTGCTTTTTATTTAACTCTTGATCCCTCCATAGTGGATGATCACACAGTACATTTTGCTGTGATTTTTGAATTGCAGTTGCTTGATTTAAAAAAAAAAGATTCAACAAACTTGATTTTATGAATCAAGTTCCTATTTTTTGAAGAATAATGTATTCATCTCAATACTATAATGCAGGGCTGGGTTCTAAATTTTTTTACTACCGGTTCTGTGGGCGTGGCTTATTTTGTGGGTGTGGCTTGGAGGTCATGTGACTAGGTGGGCATGGCTAGCTGGTCAGAGTCATTTCTGGAAGGTCCTCGCACTTACGACCCGACTCATTTGTTTGCTTTTAACACTGATCAGCTGTAGGACGGCCCTTTGAAGCCCCGCGGCAAGAGTTTAAACAGTTTTTTTCCCTCTAGTCATCAGCTGGGACTCAGGAGGCAGCAATAGATTGGGGGTGGGGCCAAATAAAAGGTAAGAATAACATGGGGGAGTGGGGGGGAGTGGGGGGGAGAACCGGTTCGGTGACGTCATATCGTCACCGCTACCGGCTGGACCAAACCGGGAGGAATCCACCACTGCTATAATGGATGAGAATTCTATGGCCTGTTTTTCAGTATCTGCTGGCATACAGAATAATTGCCTGGTAACTATATGTAAGAATAATCAGGCATTCAGTTTTTCCCATTAAGTACATTACTTAAAGAATGAAAAAGAAATAAGAAGGATATGTGTCCTACTTTACTTGTCAGTTCTCAGGTAACACTTCTTTACATGTTCTAATTAAAAGCTGAAGGTTGCACCTTGGCTCTAGTTTACAGGAAACCAGCTTAATCCCAGGTAACAAGGCATAAAATTGCAATCCTGTAAACTTAATTGCGAGGAATTACTTTTTTTAGTATTAAAAATACTGTTACAAAATGCAGACCTGGAAATCGGAGAGATAGCTGCCTTTCGCATAATTAATAGGTGTACAAACAACAGAAGAAGAGTCATGGTGGATGCAGTGGTTAGAATGCAGTACTGCAGGCTACTTCTGCTGACTGCGGGCTGCCTGCAATTTGGCAGATCAAATCTCACCAGGCTCAAGGTTGACTCAGTCTTCCATCCTTCCGAGGTGGGTAAAATGAGGACCCAGATTGTTGGGAGCAATATCCTGACATTTGAAAACCACTTAGAGAGTGCTGTAAAGCAGTATAGAGCAGTATAAAAGTCTTAAGTGCTATTAGTATTGCTACCTAAATAATTTGGATACCTGACCGTGAATTCCATTTGTGAGTATGACTGCAAGGATGAAGACCTGCACTTTGGAATTAGTTGCACTGTTGTCATGGCTGGCCTCAGAAATACATACTGTATTTTTCGGACTATAAGACGCACCGGAGTCTAAGACACACCAAGATTTCAAAAAGGAGAACAAGGGAAAAAAAGTTTTTGCCCTCCCTGTCCTCCAGGAGCACTCTGCAGGTCTCCCAAACCCTCTCTGTGTCTCGTTTTTGCGAAAAACTGGCCTGTTTTTGGCCTCCCAAACCCCCCCCCCCACAGATCGCATTTTTGCCCCCCCCAGCCCCTAGAAGCATTCTGCAGGCCTCCCAAACCCTCTGCACATCCCATTTTTGTGAAAAACGGGCCTGTTTTTGGCAAAAACGGGATGCGCGGGCTGGGGGTTCGGGAGGCAAAAAATGGCTGTATTTGGTGTACAAGACACACCAACATTTCCACCCTCTTTTGAGGGGGGTGGGAGTGTGTCTTATACTCTGAAAAGTACGGTATTTAAAAGAGGGAGAATAGTTTTGGTCTTTTTCAAGGAAGCTCCTCCATACAAGGCATAGAAGGATAACTGCTCAATTCTGGGCTTCTCCATTTCCAACCCTATGGGAAATTTTGAGTATGGTCTATTCATGACTATATTTGAATACTGGTGAAAACCTATGATATTTGTGAGGGTCTTGGATTTAGAAGTGCCCAACAGCAGGTTCCATCTTCTGGCCAACGGCCTACCTGGTGACTTTGCAGGCATCAGACTTCATATAAAGTCTGAAGCTAGGGGCTGAAAATGAGTGTAAGAGATACCGAAGGAATAATACAGGTAGTTCTTCACTTATAACTGGTTGCTTAATGACCATTTGAGATTACAAGGAGCATGGAATTGGTGCTTTATGGCCAGTAAAGCACTTCTGGTCATTGTAAAAAGTTGTGTTCCCCATTCCCCCATGGTCCCATGACTACATTTCGGTACTTGGTAATCTGCTCATTTTGCAGTGTGCTATAGTTTCTTCCATTTGGAAGAATGGATTCGTGCCTACAACTATGGCGTTCACTAAATGACTGTGGTGATTCATCCAACGACTGTTGCAAGTCTGGTCAACTTACAACCATAATGACTTACACCCAGTCCCAATTGCGGTTGTACGTTGAGGACCACCTGCATGGAAGAACTAGGGGAAAAGATGAGATACCTGAGATCAATGGTGGGTTTTAGCCAGTTCGCATCACTTCGGGAGAACCAGTTGTTAACTTTCTGAGCAGTTTGGCAAACTGGTTGTTGAAAGAAATCATTAGGGCAGAGAACCGGTTGTTAAATTACTTGAATCCCACCACTGCCTGAGATACTAGAGAGAAGAGCGTGATGGAGCAAATTCAGAAAAAGGAGAAGAGATGCATAGAAAAGAAAGAAAGATAAAGGAAAAAGCTAGCTTATACAGGTAGCCCTCGACTTACAACAGTTCATTCAGTGACCACTCAAAGTTACACCACCACTGAAAAAAGTAACTTACGACCGTTTTTCACAGTTATAATCTTTGCAGCGTCCCCATGATCATGTGATCAAAATTCAGATGCTTGGCAACTGGTTCATACTTATGATTGTTGCAGCGTCCCAGGGTCATGTGATCCCCTTTTGGTGTCCTTCTGATAAGCAAAGTCAATGGGGAAGCCAGATTCACTAAACAACTGGGTTACTAACTTATCAACTGCAGTGATTCACTTAACAAATGTGGCAAGAGAGGTCATAAAATGGGGACAAAGTCACAACAGAAATTTTGGACTCAGTTGTGCTCGTAAGTCGAGGACTACCTGTAATGAATATTTTCTTTCTTGCAATAGAGGCCCTTTTCTTAAGTTATGCTCCTCAGGTAATTTGAGCTTGCCTTACTAAGAGCAGCCTTCCTGTTTACCTCTCTAGCTGGCAATGTTCAGACTTTTCAATAAGAAAGGATATATGTAAAGTAACAGATCTTTGCATTTTTTTTGTCCTCTTCTTTTATTCTGCTTGTCTGGAATGCAGCTTTATTACTTATAAGGAAGCCCTCTCCCCAGGCAACTGATTTCTTCCCTTGTGCTACATTATTGATAGTTTATTTTTTAATGCAAGTCTACCCCCCACCCTCCCTGCCTTGTTTTCCCATACATTATTGGGGACAGGAATTGCTCTGGGTTGAAAAACCCAGAACAATCCCTATGTGCATTGAAACCCAATTATTTTGAAAGCAGCAGCAAAAAAGGCTGGAAGCTGCCAAAGTAGGGGGGAAATGTAAATTGTTTCTTTGGAAATCTTGTAGTTGGAATAAACAACACCCCCCTCCTCTGAAGGAGGAATATTCCCTCCTTAAAAAATTAAAACTGTTCAACCCATATCTATTTATATATTTGGAAGCCGCCAAGAAACAAAGTAATACTAACAAGCCCTTCGGAAAATATAAGATTAGCACATTGAAGGGTCTGGGAAGAGAAACACAGCTGCACATATCCAGGTTGAATTTAAGCATCTTTGTTAACGTGCATCCTAGTGGTGGAAAGTTCTAGTGAGGCGCTTTCATTTTTTATTCATCAGGTCCAGCGAGGGGAAGAAAGGATGCAGTCTCCTCTTCCTTCGCTCATCTTTATTGAAGTTTTGTGTCGTAGCAGAGCCTTGAAGTTGCGTGTTGAGCTGGATAAGAAGGTGGCAGTGCTACAAATCAAGCTATCCCTCCCTTCCACGGTCTTCACTAAGGAAAAGAAAGCTCTTTTATGTCCACTGAAGCTTCTCTTACTTATGCAAGAGAGAAGGCAGTGCAACTTGAAAGAGACGGTTATGGTTCACTCTCAGCTACCAACACCGACTGCCCAGGAAAGAGAAGTTGTAGAATTCTTAAGGATCTGCCTTCAGTTGCTTTTCTCATCAGATCAGGGGAGAAAAAGGGAACTAATTCAGCTTTGTATTGGCAACGATGTGCTAATGGCAAGGGAGATTCTTGCAGTTCTGTAACATCGCAGTTGAACTAGTGTTACTTTTTCATGATGGAAGAGAGCTCTAAGAGCGCATTCTGAAAGAGAAAACAGGGAGAGGCTGAGTCAGCTTCTAGGACAAACACAAAACATCAGTGTAATCAGGGGTTAAAGCTAAATAGCTTTGAAGGTTATTTTAATCCAGCGGTGTCAAACTCGTGGCGTCACGCTGTCGTCACCTGACATAGCACGATTTTTCCCCCCTTTGCTAAACCAGGGGCGGGCGTGGCCAGTGCATGACGCCTCCAGTCCACGGGCCACAAGTTTGACGCCCCTGTTTTAGTCAGTTACTCATTTGAAAAAAACTAGATTTTCTTTGTTCTTCTTCAGAAGGTGAACCAACCTTCTTGATCAAATCAAGATTACTCTAGCTCAGTTTCCCATTCCTCATAGTGACCGGACACAGGTATTGGCACTCTCCTGCTCTTTGTTTCCCAACAATCAGAACTCGTTCCCATTTTGGTCCTGGGTATGAGAGTTCCCTGGTGGACACCACTGAGTCACAATCGATCCTTGATGTTGATGGATCCCTTGCCTTTGGAAACTAGCTAAGCTAAAGACAGTTTGCTACCTTGTCGGTACTATGTACTGTTAGTTATACAGTTATTAAAATAACACAATCTTCCATCAATATTGAATTGTTAATCAGCTGAATTTATTTGGATGAACCTGGGTTCTAGCATTATGTGGAAAGGACCAAAGACGACTGATATAATGATAATTAAAAATAAAAGCAAGGGAATTTCTGAGTGGTTTTGCCCTGCTCCAGTCTCCAAGCAGTGTTGCAATGTTGCTAGTCAATACTTTGCTCACTGGATGAGCAAACAAGTCCAGAAAATTGAGCTGATAAACTACAGGACCTGAAAGCAAATTGGCATTCTTGTTATCCTGCTTAGCTAGCACAAAAGCAAACTGAAGCTTCTGCTTGTTAGTATTTTTTATTTATTTATTAATCAAATTTAGCCACCCAACTCATGAAATGTGACTCTCAGTGGTTGACATACCAATCAAGATATTATAAGTTGTCCTCAATTTATGACTGGTTGGTTAGCAACCAGAGTTACATCAGACTTCCCCGGGGAGTATTTAATGGCCTGATTTCCAGGTTCAATGATTGCCCCCTCACAGTCACATGACTGGATTTCGACCATTTGCCATTGGCCATTTTCACATCCTACTGTCACATGACTGGATTTTATAACATGTTTTTCTAACCGGCATTTCCTTTCAGTTTTCGGAAAAATCGGACCAAATTGAACAATTTTTCGCTTAATGACTATATAGCATTCTCTTAATAATCATTGCAAAAAGGGTCATAAAATCGGGTCAGTCATGTGATGGACCTGCTTTACAACCACAATGACTTATGGCCATAATGGGCAGGCTCCATTATGGTTATAAATAGAGGATTACCTTGTATATGGGGGCCATCTTAAATAGCTTCCGGCATAATTAAAAAGTGCATAGTTTTACAATATTAGCTAGTACTTTAGCACGCTTCTGCGCACCGGTGATTTAATAAGCCACAATTCATCCATAACTAGATGCTAATATTGATTTCAATGGGAGCATTAGGTAAATGTATATGGCCCTCCCACTAAAATCAATAAGTGTTAAAGGGGAAGTCCTTAACTAGGACTGAATCATGTTTTCTGCTCCCACAACCCAAAATTGGCTTGCTAATGTCATTTGATGCATTTTAATGTTATTATTCTGGGAAAGACTAAACAGTTGATATGCCCCCTCACAATCCATTCCCAATACACAGCACTCATCGTCTAGAAAGGCTTAGTTTCCTTATTTGACTTTTAAGGCCTACTTCAGCTATGTAGCCAAACCAGACTGCATTGTTGTAAGAATGAACTCAGACAAGTCTTTGCTTGCATCCACTCTCTTCCTCTACGGGGGAACAAGCTTTAGGCACTGCGGATTAGATGCACCATCACAATACGGTTGCCTCAGGCATGCAGTAAATCACAAATACAGGTAGTCCTCGACTTGCAACAGTTCATTTAGTGACCATTCGAAGTTACAACAGCATTGAAAAAAATGACTTATGATCATTTTTCACACTTACAATTGTTGCAGCATCCTCATGATCAAAATTCAGACACTTGGCAACTGATTCATATTTATGATGGTTGCAGTGTCCTGAGGTCATGTGATCACCTTTTGCGACCTTCCGACAGTGGTGGGTTTCAAATTTTTTTACTACCGGTTTGTGGGTGTGGCTTGGTGGGCGTGGCATGGCTTGGTGGGTGTGGCTTGGTGAGTGTGGCAAGGGAAGGATACTGCAAAATCCCCATTCCCTCCCGATCAGCTGGGACTCGGGAGGCAGAGAATAGATGGGGGCGGGCCCAGTCAGAATTTTTACTACCAGTTCTCCGAACTACTCAAAGTTCTCAAACTACTCAACTACTTCCACTGCTGGTTCTCCAGAACTGGTCAGAACCTGCTGAAACCTACCTCTGCCTTCCGACAAGCAAAGTCAATAGGGAAGCCAGATTCACTTAACGATTATGTTACTAACTTTAAGAATTGCAGTGATTCAGTTAACAATTGTGACAAGAAAGGATGTAAAATGGGGCAAAATTCACTTAATTGTCTTGTTTAGCAAGAGAAATTTTGGACTCAATTGTGGCTATAAGTTGAGGACTACCTGCATATAACAGACAAGCAAAGTATAACTATGAAGTATACAGTTATTTGCTCAAGAACCTGAATATAATTCAAAGTTGGGCTCTGAGCCTCAAAATCCAAGTTAAACCATAATCTTGGACCTACAGTTTTCAGTTCCAACAAACGTTGTCTGGGCAGAATGGGGAAACAAAGTATACATTCTTAAATAAAATGTTCTTATTTATTTTTCTTTCTCTTTATTACACATTCACGCTTTCTTTTTCAAACATACAGAGAATTCACATCAAATATAACACATGCACATAAAAAAGAACAGATATGAAACTAAGTAAATATCAGATTATAAGAAAATAAAGGTATAAATTTAAATTAAGAAGAGTTTAAGAAGTACCCATGCTGAAATCTCTTCAGCAATGCAAAATAGAAACTTATTCTTCTTACCTGCATATAGTTTAAAAAGTTTTGTGCAATGAATTGTTTAGAAGCCTTATCAAGACATGTGTGCATTTATGGTGTGATACACAAACTTAGCGCTTTTTTGATACGCTTTATGCCCGTTTCAACTTGTAATAAAATTAGAACTATTAGAACAAATACTTTAAAAAAAAAATATTTAAATTAAATTATTACATACCTTTTAAGGCACAATTTGGACATTACAGAAATCCTGCATTTTGGAACTTTGTCCAACAAATTAACTGTCATAACATTTTAAAAAATTAATTATTCTTGCCTTATTTCTCTCCGCCACCCATTTTTTTAAAAATAACACTCAGCTGATTTTATTCAGTATTATATAAGGAATGCCCTTCTACTGAAACAATTACATTTTTCAAACATTTCCCTTGATTTGAAAGAACCGTGTTACCTTACCACCTTTCATGTTTGAATGTTTTCACAGACAAACCCCTAAGCCCAAGGCCTAGGCTAAAAGGATACTAAAGAGCAATAACTCACACTGTAGCACAGAGGTCTTCAAACTTGGCAGCTTTAAGACTTGTGGACTTCAACTCCCAGAATTCTCCAGCCAGCTGGCTGGAGAATTCTGGGAGTTGAAGTCCACAAGTCTTAAAGCTGCCAAGTTTGAAGACCTCTGCTATAGCAGAATATAGCAGCATAGCAGAAAGGTTGCTTGGGTTTACTTGCCATTGACATTCTGCGTCCCCTTGTGGTGGAAAATGAGGGTGTGATAGGAGGGCTGCTGTCATCTTGCCACTTAGCTTCCAAGACCGAACCATTCTGTGAGTCTGAGGTCACTGAGTTGATATCCAACTGGCTCTTTGACAGCATTCTGGGCAAAAGGCTGGAGTTATGGTTCTGATAAAGCATGGCGTTTGGAGAGCTGCCATTATCATCTCCTAAGTCCTTGCTGCTAAGTTCCCAGCTCTGCTTCCGAAACGTTGCTTGGGGGCTCTCCCTGGGGTTGGATACTATGGAAATTTTAGAAGCGGGTGGAAGATTCTTGGACTCATCTGAAGCATTGGATTCATTCTTTCTGTAGAGGTCGACAGCCTGCCCTGCTTCCATTGGAATGTTGTCAGTGCTGCAGGGCGCAATCAGATGCTCATCATTATGGCATTGACTCATTAAGTTTGTATAATGCCTGGGGAACAGCCTGCGTTGATGTTCTCCATTCCCATTGGGGTATCCGAGATGCCCATAAGAAGGATGCGGTCGATCTGGATACTGATTGGGCCATCTTCTGCAGTTTCTGCGCCATTGTTGCTCCCCATTCCCCGGGTGCTGGCTTTGTTCAGTAAGTATATATCCTTCTTCAAGATTCAAGGAGACGGGTAGCCTCCCTTGCTCCTCTGACCTAAATTTGTAACTATCCTGGTGAGATGAATCACTCATGTTGCAAATCTGCTGTATCATTGAATTTTTCTTGGGGAAATTAAAGATAGCCTCCTCCTCTGCAGTCATCAGCTTCTTCTTGGACTTCCTGCAAAGGGTGTTTCTAATCTTCTTGATCCCCAAATAAACGATCTCCAAGAGATTCAGAAAGAGTGAAACGGCGGCAATGCTATGCATGAAAACCATGAAGATTGTTTTTTCTGTTGGCCTGGACACAAAGCAATCCACAGTGTTAGGGCAGGGTGGAAGAGTGCACTTATACAGTGGATTCATTTGAAACCCATACAAAAGATACTGGCCCACCATGAAGGCCACTTCTAAGACTGATCGGGTCAAGATATGAAGGATATAGGTCCATAGCAAAGCCCCTTGCAAGGGAGGCTTGCTTGCTTGCTTTTGTTCTTCCAGCTTCTTCAGCTGCCTCTCTATTCTCCGGTGATCTTCTATAATAGGCTCTATCTCTTTGAGCTGCTCTTTAAGGTAGGCTTTCTTCCGCTGCCTCTCTTTCTCAAGGGCTTGCAGTCTATAAATGGCATGGCCCATATAAACAAGGGAAGGAGACGAGACAAAGATGACCTGGAGCACCCAGTAGCGGATCAGAGAGATGGGGAAAGCTTTATCATAGCAGATGTTGTTACAACCCGGCTGCTCGGTGTTGCAAATAAACTCCTCTTGCTCATCATCCCAGACTTCTTCAGCAGCCACACCAAGAACCAACATGCGAAAGATGAAAAGGATGGTGAGCCAGATTTTGCCCACTATGGTGGAATGGAGATGAACTTCCTCTAAGATACTGCCCAGCAAATTCCAGTCCCCCATAGTCATGAGATCATCCCTCTAAAATGAAACAGTAGTGCGTCATTAAGAAAGCCATTTATATATTTGTGTAAGTACCAATTTAAATTGCCTGTAGTTCTATTTAATTTACTTGACGTGGATTAAAATTAGAGTGAGCAAACGATAGGCCCCATTGTTATAAAAAGGAAGCAACATCTAAAGCAGTGTAGAGGACTTAAAGAATGGCCTTAAAGATCCAGAGGAAGAACTGCTATCAAGGAGATGGTCAGATAAGTGGGGCTTGAGCCTGGGCCATGAAAATAAGTCAAGAAAACATCTAAGGCAAGTTTTTTCTTAGTTCAATGAAGCTTCTGGGTGTTGGTTCAGCAGCTTCTGGATGATCACACCGAAAACATGATTGCCATGACGGTGTGGCCAATGACTAAAAATCTGCATTTCAGAACACATCCTACTCTATAACTTCATGGAATTCTATGAAAACCAGTGGCTCTGGTTTAAAAAAACCCAAAACCCTGCAAAAATATTTATAATGGAAAAATTGGACAAGATCCTGTTTCTAATTTTGTAAAAAAAAGCAAGTACCCTGTCAAATTAATAGATATAATTTAAAAAAATGTAACATATTTAATCACAATTACCGAGGAACACTTCCAAACATCCATTACATAAATAAATAAATAAATAAAAATCTAGAAATCTATTGAGTCCTATTAAAACCATAACTGAACTCCTTTCCATTTTTTTTCTCGAAAGCTCACAAAGAGAGCATAAAGAAAATAATAATTTAATTTAAATTTGTACATAGCCCTATAATTTTCTGAAAACTATCGCCGCTCCATTGCAATGTGTTCTATTAGCTGTCACAATGGTTAGATTCTGATGCATTTGTCTGATTTCATTTAAGTTACTATCAAATCATCTTGTGGCATTTAATTCCACAAGCTGACAACATGGTGCATGAAAAGCATCCCCTTGTGATGGAAACAGATTTCCCTGCAAAAAGACGTTTATTTTTATAGGTATACATGTATAACCTCACAGATGCAGACAAAGACATACACACATTTTCTTACCTTTTCCTTGATTTCTGTCCAAGGCTGCAATTACCAGTATAACCAATGAAGTAAGAATGATCTCAAATCTGAATTGATTTCTTCTGGTCACATGGACATTAGTACAGTTTTCTTGGCAACACTACAGAAGTGGTTTGCCACTGCCTTCTTCCAGAATATTTTCCAACTTCCCAGTTTGCCTAGATGGAAAATTCAGGAAGGGTAAGAGAGAGATTTTTTTCCTTTTTGGAAAAAAAAATGCCACCAGGAGTAATGCTTTAAAATTATTAAAATTTACCATAATCTCCGTGTAATGATTGTTTAACTATATTGTTTCCTTCGCTACTTTAGAACCTGTTTTATTCAAAGTGCCTTTATAGATTAGAATGAACAGACTGGAAATATTATTATACTATGAGCAATTTATATCAGAATGCAGGACTCATGCTAACGACTGGACTTATAATTAAGAATGTTTTCCTCTTTGTACATTTAAAATAACTTCAGATATTATTCTACTGCTTACCATGCTCATATCTCTTGGAATACATCAAACTCGTCCCTTGAAATTACCACATGCTTTCCAGCGCTGTTAATTGCTTCGTCTTCCTCTGAACAACTTAAATCTATTTTTACACCTGACATGACGATTGCAAATCATAATTCGTTGGCTGTTGGAATCAGTAAGTCCAAAGAATTCAAACAATTTGATGAGCTGACTGATAGGACAGAGCCACTGGTTGAAATGATCATGCAATGGAGACCGACCAAGTCATCTCCTCAGCCTTTCTGTCCACCTCATTGCTTTGCAATGCTACTGCTTATTTCATTAGGATGCAAACACTTGCTGAAATGCTAAGTAAAACAATTCATTTTGTAAAGTGAAATGAACAGTCTCTTTTCACAGCTCTGGATGTTTTCTTTACAATCTGTTCGTTTTCGTGGTAATCAATGCTCAGAGATCAATCGGTCATGCCCGATTTCATAGTCTATTACACATCAGCATAGATGGGTCAGATTAAAATTCTTCGGTAGAAAAATGAAACAGCAGGTCAAACTAGAACAAGTTTTGAAAGGAGAAATCCAATTTCCCATATTTTTCATTGGCTTTGGTTACTCAAGGCCCTTACCTACTTCAAGAGATTAACGCAACAACATTCACAAAAAGGAATAAACAAGTTATATTCCCTTTTCTGGCTGCTTGGAAAGATAGCAATTAAAAGAAAAGAACAAGAGCTTCAAAGCCAATGGTGTTAATTGTTTAGCTGCTGAGTAAGAAGTAAGATAGGAAGTGTATTAAAATCTTCAGTTTAGGGAATTGTTTGTGTTAACTATAGCCTGAGGTATTTTTCAGTGGTGCCTTGTGATGGTTATAGAATCCCATTTAACCCTTCATTTGCTTTAAGCCAGTTTGCAACAATGAGAATATTTTGAAGACCTGCTATAAAATAGGGATTAAGAAATCACACAGAAAAGGGATAATCAAGCTATAATTATGTAAAAGCTTGCTTCTGAGAAGGTCCCTGATGACTTCCATGGAATTATTACATATAAGTAGGCTGAAGACTAAAACTAATATTCATAAAATCACTTTGCCTGTGGGGAGTAATTATTTATTTTCTAATTTTGTGGCCATCCAACTCCTTAACCATACCGGGAACGTTACAAACCAGTAAATTATAAACGGAGTTCATAGCCAGCTAGAAAGTCAATAAAACCAATTATAAAACCAAACTTTACTAACACGAACCATGCAATTACCCGATCCCAAAGAAATTAAAGTCTCCCTTTTTATTGAAAATTAAACTAAAATCACTGATGTGAGAAGAAAAAAAGAATTGGCTAAACAAGCAATAATTATGTTCATATGCACGACATGTTAAACATGACTGTTTAGTAGATAATACACCACAGCCTAATACATCAACCCTTCCTATAGTTGACATATCAGCAGTTGTTTTCTGCAGCCCACCTTCATCTTTCTTTGGTCTATAAGGATTTTTAGAACACCCTGCACAGATAAGAGTTGGATGGATGGATACTAATTAATGTATTGTGAAGTAGAATTTGGGAATCAAACTTAAAACTATATCTTTCAGTGGAATGAAAGTGCTAAGCTATACAAAAAATTGACATGAAGAATACTCATTTAAAGGAGAAAATGATACTAGGGCAAGCAAATAACATACAACTTCAAAGGTACTCATGTCCTCCTTACATGCCCTTGTCCAAAGGGAATTAAGAGTCCTTGCTCAGCAATAAAACACAGACACAAGGAATGCTGATTCAGGAAGTAGCAGCTGAGAAGCAAGGACACTCAGGATAATCTTAACAAAACATATTCTAAGATCCCATTCTTAGCGCAAGTAAGCCATTGCATTCACCCCATTATCCTGACTTAACAAGTTCTAAACTCAAATTGTTTGCTACACTAATTAAATGTGTATCATAATTTGTCTCAGTCTACAAAGAAGGAGTTTATTCCCTCCCCTCTTTTGGCTTGTCTTTACCTCTAGAACCAATCAATAAACTATTTTTACTTCAGTGAAATTGTGCTGATCTCTGGTTTATATGAACTCAAAAGTTTTCCTACAATTGTCAACACCATGGTTTTCCACTTACAACATACAGCTGTGAAAACTGGAATTTTGGAAAAATTGGAATGATGAGGCTGGATGCAATTATTAAGACTATTTTGGACCACAAGAACGAATAGTTCAATATCGGATAATAGTTCAATATCAATAAATCTGATTGCTATTTGTACTGCACTGCACTGGAAGTGCTAATAACTAACGTTTAAAATTTAGTTAATATTTCATCACCAGTATCAATATTAATAAAATCCATTAATAATAGTATACGTAAATATTAAATATAAAGGCAAAAGTCATTAGAGAAGATCCTTGTAATGCTTGTAAAAATCAAAGGCAATTGAAAAAGAGGCTTAAAGAAGACAAAGTAGTTAGATGCTGATTATACAAGCATGATCTTTTGACAACTAAAAAGGAATAATTACTGATTAAGACAATTCTCGCAAAATGATATATATTTTGTTACAAACAGTTGTGGCAGAGCCAAATGCAGGATATAGGTTTTCCAGAGATTTCTGCTTTGCCTGCAGAAATCTCTTATACTTGTGGATTCAAGATGAGAAGGCAATCTTGAAGGATTAAAACAGGATGTTTAGATGTACTAACCTCCGCAACTTAACTTCACTGGAATATATTTGAGGTATTGAGCTTTGCTCTTTAGTATCAAGATTGTTTACCATCAGGAAAATAAATTATTATCTACTGGCTAACCATAACAAATTCAAAAAGATTACGAAGTAGGGTATAAAATACTCCAAACCAACATTTAATTAACATTAAACACATTCATTTTACAAGGGTTGAGATTCATATTACAGAATGCAGTATTTAATGTATGCAAAATAAAATTTCTTCTCTGTAATCAAAAATTTACAGGTAAAGAATTGTATTTAAACACAATATTTTACACAATATAGAATTCTGTACAATACATTATTTACAGGAGAGTACCATATAAAACTTACAATTTATACACATGCACATCTTTACACCTCTCTCTCTCTGTCTCTTTGAAGCCATTATGGCATGTAATCAGTTTTAATCAATGAATTTTAATATTGGCAAATTTTTGAAAAAATCAGGTGTTTTGTGGGTGCTGCCTCTTACATATTTCCATGCTGAAATAAAATATTTGTCCTTCAAAATAAGGTTTTATCAGGACAGGAACATGGATCAATTTAACTGGATTATCATTAATTTAAATCTTAATTAAGTTGTTAATTAAAGTATGGGATTCAATTGCAAATTGCACACTCCATTAAAAATACTATTTTTGCAGATAGTTATAATTTAAAAGAGAAATAATATTTTGTTAACTTGTGGCAAATCTGCTTTAAAAGTGAAAGTTTGATATGAAAAACAATGTTGTATTAGTCTGTAAACTAATATAGCATTTTAAGCAGAGGAAACTCGTGTTAATACTGGTGTTTTATTTGTAAAATAGTTCTTCACAAATTCTATACCAATAAACCATATATGAGGATTTGGAAAATATACCGCAAACTTCAAAATTCATATTCACACTTAATGAAAGAGAAAAAAAGGAAAGTATATGCTCAACATTCTAAGTTTTCTCATGATTATTTGAGTCTTGTTTTGTGTTAACACATGCTTCTTTTATTTCTGATCAACAAACTATAGTCAAATTGTTCAACTCAGAACAATGATTCATATGTTAAGAACTGGTTTTGTGTTAACCCAAAGTTTTAATGAAAATAAGGGTTTTGAGTACAACACAGAGGAAGAAGCAGCAATAAAATACCTTGTTCTATGCCAGGGCTGTCAAACTCCCAGCTCACGGGCTGGATGCATCACATGCTGGCCACACCCACGCCCAGTTCAGTGAAGGGGAAAAAAGTCCCAATATGTGAAGTGATGTTGCCGTGAGTTTGACACCCCTGTTCTATGCTGTATTTTGCAAATTATCTTCGGCACCTGCAGTGGATAGAAGTCTTAGAAAATTCACAGCAGCCCAGGAAGTTTCTTTTTCTTCTATATTCCAAAATGTGCACTAGAGTTTTACAATTTGTTTGCTATATTTAACAAGTACCAGTTACTAACGTAATTAAAAAAAAAACAGGGTTTTCCCATAAGATCTATGAAAATGAAACATTTAAATTACAGGTAAAAAAGATATGGAACAAATTGCTATTTGGACTTGGAAAGCAAGCACTCTTTTCTCACATGCACACAGGGCAAAGATGTGCATAGATTCCTTCATTTGTAGTAGCTATTAACTGCCAGTTGACATCTTGAATAGCTTCACTAACTGCTTCAATCTTTCTTCAACCTGTGGAGAGAAAACATAAAATCTAAACTTTAAAACTATTTATAGAGTAGGTATTCTTCCCAGAGAATTCATGACTATCTCAAGCCATCGCCCACACCCTGGCTTTATATGGATATGGAACCAGGTAGGTGACTCAGTTATAAGAATTCTGATTATTAAGGCAATTAGAAAAAAATGCTGCCAGACTCAGAAATGTCTACTAGCCTTATCAAAAATTTCTAGGTTTGTATTCCTTACTGGTTCTTGCTTTAGCAGGATTTTATTTTGTTATAAAAGAAAATTGTGATCAAAAACTCCCAAGTTTCTGTAATTCATTCATTCTCCTTGACTGAAGAGTGAGATCTGTTTAAATTAGACCCACAGCATCCAGAGCCACCAGCCAT